GGTTAGATGCAATTCTAATAGAAACTTTTCAAGCTATAGAGACTGAATTTGTCAAAATTCTAACAAGAATGTGTCAACAAATATGGAAAATAAAACAAATAAAACATTTCATCTGACTGAAAATGGTTGATGTATATCCCGATTTTTAAGGAGATGCCAAGTAGTGCAATAAGTATAGGACCATAACCTTAATTTCCCATTCAAGTAAAGTGATGCCCACTGTGACACAACAAAGGCTTCTGACTTGTGTAGAACAAGAAATGCCAGGTGTTCAAGCAGAATTCAGGAAAGGTAGAGGTAGTAATTGTGAACATTTATGGGATACTGGCACATTCCAAAGAATTTCAGAAGGTTAGTCTACATTTTATAGAGTACAGTAAAACCTTTGTGGATCATGAGTTGCTGTGGGTATCTCTGAAAGAAATGGTTGTGCCTCAGCACTTGATTGTTCTGATGCATAACCTGTGTTGTGGCAGGAAGCCACTATCAAGACAGAATATGGAGACAGAGAACCATTTTCTATCAAAGGTGTCAGATGAGAGTTAGTTTTATCTTCCTAGTTTTAAAATCGGTACTAGAACATATCATATGAACACTGGGCTAGACTCAGAGGAAGGAGGAGTAAAAATTGGTAGAATTAATACAAATTACTTAAAATATGCAGATGATTATCTTACTGGCTGAAAGAAGCAATAGTTTGAAATGACTTCTGTTGAAAGTGAAAGGAGAAGGCATCAAGGCTGGATTGCATTTGAACATCAAGAAGACAAAAAACATGACTACAGAAAAAATTTACAACTTTAACATAAACTGTGAAGATACTGGAATTGTTACAGATTTTGCTAATCTTGGTTCAGTCATCAATTCAGATGGAGGCAGCAGCCAAGAAATCAAAAGAAGGCTGAATCTTGGGTGGAAGGGCAGCAATAGAAGAATAGGAAAGGTCATCAAGTACCAAGATGTGTCATCAGTGATTAGAGCTCAGATCAGCCACATCCTTGTATTCTCATTTACTATGTGTGAATGACAAAGCTGGACAATGAAGAAAGCTGGACAATGGGGGAAAACAGATTCATTCGAAATGTAGTGTTTGGGGGAGAACTCTATGGATACCCTGAACCACCACAAAGATTAACAAGGGGGTCCTCAAGCAAATTAAGCCTGAAATATTACTGGAGGCAAAAATGGCAAAACTGAAGCTCTTCTACTTTGGTTATATCCTGAGAAGGGAGGGATCTTTGGAAAAGATAATTCTGGAAAAAATAGAAGGCAGCAGGAGAAGAGGAATACCACATATGAGATGGATTGACTCCATAAGGAAGCCATAGGCATGAGTCTTGAGGAGGTGAGCATGGCTGTAGAGGACAGGATGCGGTGGACATCACTTATTTATGTGGTTACCAGGAGTTGGAGCTGACTCAGTGGCACATAACACACGTGGGCATGTCTGCCCTCTTGGATATTTGTGTGGGAAGTCTTTTTCCATTCTTTTACTTTCAACTTATGTATGTCATTAGAGCTAAAGTGAGTCTTTTGTAGGTGACAAATAGTAGGATTCTATTTTATTTAAAAAACCATTCTGCCCATTTTTGGGGAATTTAATTACATTTAAAATAATTACTGGTAGGAAAGATCTTACTATTGCCATTTTGTTAATTATTTTCTATATGTCTTTTAACTTTTTCTGTCATATTTCCCCCTTATTCCCTTTGTATACAGTTTTTTTAGTGACATGTTTTTATTCCCTTATTTCCTTTTGTGTTTTTTATAGATATTTGTGGTTCCAGAGGGATGACATATATTTTAATTTTTATACATTTCAGCCATATTGTACATGGGTTTCATTGTATCTACACCTGCATTAACACTTCTCTTTGCAGTTTTTTCTTTTTTAAAAGATTTTATATATTTTTCGACAGAGGGGAAGGGAGAGAGAAAGAGAAGGAGAGAAACATCACTGTGTGATTGCCTCTTACACACCCCCACTGGGGACCTGGCCTGCAACCCAGGCATGTGCCCTGACTGGGAATTGAACTGGCGACCCCGTTTGCAGGCTGACACTCAATCTATTGAGCCACCCTAGCCAGAGCATAATATTTTAATTTTGTAACAACATATTTTAGCCTGATATCAACTTAACTTTAATCACATCAGTAACTGTAGTCCATTAGAGCTTACATTCCCAACTTTGTTGTTGATATAACAAATGACATTTTTCTCTATTATGTACCTATTAACATAGACTTATACATTTATTCCTGTCTTTTAAATCCTATAAAAGAACAAAAAGTGGACTTACAAAGTAAAATTGTAATAATACTATTTTTTATTTGTCCATTTATTTACGTTTACTGTAGAACGTGTGTGTGTACACACACACACACACATTTGTTTTTCTTATAGTTTTTTGTTGCTGCCTAGCATTTTTTCAACTTGGACTCCCTTTAACATTTCTTGTAAGGCAGATCTATTGGTAACGGGCTCCTTCAGTGTTTGTTCATCTGACTATATCTTAATTTTTTAGTCTGTCAGCACTTTAAAGATATCGTCTCTCTGTTCTGGCTTGCAAGATTTCTTCAGGGAAATCTACTGATAATCTTATTGAGGAGTCTGTGAATATGTCAGTTTTTTCTTTTATCTTTGTCTCTGATTATCATGTTTCTTGATTGAGATTCTCGGATTCATATAGCCACGTTTTTCTTCAGATTTGGTAGTTTTGGTCATTATTACTTCAAATAAGTTCTTCCCCTTTCTTTTTCCTCCTTTTGGATTTGTATAATGCATACGTTTGACAATGTCCCATGAGTCCCTTAGGCTCTGTTCACTTTTCTTCATTTGAAATTTTTGTTCCTTTGTGTTATTTTATTTATTTATTTATTTATTTATTTTTATTTTTAATTTTTTTAAAATGATTTGGTTTTAAGGTTGCTGATTCATTGTTTTGTCTGTTTGAGTCAGCTTTTGACTTTCTGTAGTGAATTGTTCAATTCAGGTACTCCTTGTACCTCTCTTGGGATGTGTGTTTCTCTGCTTTCATTCAGGCTTTTAATTTTTGGTTGATCTGACTTATGTATAACATTGTGTAAATTTAATGGGTGTAACGTATTGATTTGATACATTGCTTTACAGAATTGGGCAAAAGTAGTTTTACAGTTGTGAGTATGCAAAACACAGAGTTTATTCATATATTAATTAGTTGTTGTATTATGTTCCATACCTACTTTTGCCTCACCTTGTATTGTATTATGAGCACCACTGTAATTTTAGCTAACACATTTACCATGCCACATAGTTATCATTTTTTTTGTGGTGAGAACATTTGAGATGTAGTCTCTTAGCAGTTTTGTGGTATGTATTGCAATATTGTTGACTATAATCGCTATGATGTTCATTAGATCACCAGAACTTACTCATTTCCTAGTTGCAAATTTGTACACTTAAACACCTCCTCCCCAGCTTCCCCACATCCCAGCTCCTGGTAAGAACCATTCTACTCTCTGTTTCTGAATTCGACTTTTTATATCCTAGGTAAATATTTGTCTTTCTATGTCTGGCTTATTTTCTTTTTTCTCATGGCTGAGTATTTCATATATTTTATTTTTTATGTGTATCCCTTCTCTTTATCCCTTCTCTGTTGATGTACACACTTAGGTTGGTAACATATCTTGCCTATTGTGAATAACGTTGCCGTGAATATGGGAGTAGAGATATCTTGCTGATTTCTCATTTTCTTTCCCTTTGGATGTACGCCCAGAAGTGACATTTGTGGGTGACATTCAAGATTTTTCTTAGTCTTTGGTTTTCCTCAGTTTGATTATGATATGCCTAGGTGTAGATTTTATTTTGTTTTTGTATTTTTCTGCTTGCTGTTCTCTGAGCTTCCTGGATCTATGGTTTGGTGTCTTTATCATTAATTTTGGAAATTTCTCTGTCATTATCAATGCATTATTTTTGCCTTCTAGCATTTCCATTATGCATATGTTACAACTGTTATAATTGTCCTCCAGTTGTTGGACATTCTGTTTCATTATTTTTCTTTTATTTTTCTCCTTGTACTTTAGTTTGGGAAGTTTATGTTTATTTATCTTGCTGATTTTGGATTAATGAATTTCCAGTTTATTGCAAGTATATTTAAATATAATTAATTTTTGTATCTTGTTCTTATATCATGCTGCCTTGCTAGATTCATGTTATTTGTGTAATTCTGATTAAAATGTAAAAATATGGAGCTACAACTGCAGAGGTCATAACTTACGATAAATGATGTTTGGTCAAACATACAGTCTTAGACAAATGAAGGTGAGCTAATAAGATTATAGTTGGATTCTGTTTTCTCTTATGTATTGGATTGGCCAAAAAGTCCATTTAGTTTTTTTCTATAAAATAAAAGACACATTTTTCATTTTCACCAATAACTGTATTGATTTGGATATTTTGAATATGTCAACTCTGTCCTGCTATTGGCTTCTAGTGGGTAGAGGCCAGGGGTGCTGCTAAAAATCTTCCAACCCTCAAAACAGCCCCACAGCAAAGAATTACTTGGCTGCAATGTCAATAGTACCAAGAAACTTTGCAAAAACGATTTTGACACATTCTGTCAGTCACGGCATCTTCTCCAATGCTGCACAATCTTTTTTTGAGTTTCAGTTGTGTTTTTACCTTGAAATTAAGCACGTGTACCAGAAGTGTTGCTTATTGTCTTCCATCTTCAATAATAAAATGGACAAAAATTCACCAGTTTTGCTGTTTTTTTAAACACATGCTGATATGACAGCTGTCACAATACAATCTAACAAAATTGTTTCTAATGATGTTAAAAACCACTAAGCACTACTAGAGCCATCGTATGGAAAAAATCAAACAAACTTTTTGGCCAGCCCATTATCTTATTTTTAACTATATTTTTCTTAACACGACATTTTAGGAATGAAGTACACCTAATTTTTAATATGGAAAATATTTGAATACTTCAATTTCATTTTTTTAAATCTTTTTTTTAGGAGCTGTGGCTCTGAAGAACCTGGAAATTAAAGAAAATGCCCTGGTATGTTTTGACCATAAAAATTTGTTAGTGCATTTATATAGACTTTTTCCTGATTTACTTTGTCATCTTAAATCATTTAAGTTTGAGAAAATTTTTTGATTTTTAAAAAATTTATTTAATTATTGTTCAAGTACAGTTTTCTGTCTTTTACTCCCATCCCAGCCCCCCTCCCCCCAGTGCTCCCCACCTCCCTCCCATTTCCCCCCACCCCGCCTTAGTTTTTGTCCATGTGTCCTTTATACTTGTTCCTGTGAATCCTTCCCCTTTTCCCCTGAAATTCTCTCCTGTTCCTGTGCTCTCAAATTTTTTGAAAGTAAGTTTTACAAAATGTCAGTTTTGCAAAAATGAGTTGTTAATCTCCTTAAAATCACAAATTGACAGCATAATTTTCTCCACTTAAAAATCTTCTCATATTTATTTATGGTTTTATTTTTTAAAGTTATTCAAGTATAATTGAAACACAGTATTGTATTAGTTCCTATATATTTTTTACTTATTTTCCTAGTTATCTTCAATTTCTTATTTTAGCCAGTTTTTAGTATAGAATTGAGTGGCATTAATTACATTTACAATGTTGTGTAACCATTACCAGTATCTGTTTTTAAAACTTTTTCATTATGCCAAAGGGAACCTTGTAACCATGAAAGAATTAACTTTTCAGTCCTTCTCTCTGTAGACTCTGGTAACCTCTAATCTATTTTCTGTTTCTATTCATTTACCTATTCCAGGTTCCTCATATAATTAGAATAATGCTATTTTGTCATTTTCTGTCTGGCTTGTTTTACTTAGTGTAATTCCTTCAAGGTTCACCAGTGTTATAGTGTATATCAGAATATCTGTCTTTTTATGGACAAATAATATTCTAATATATATATTTGCCACATTTTATTTGTTCTTCTGTTGATGGACACTTGGATTGTTTCTGTCTTTTGGCTCTTATGAAAAGTGCTGCCATGAACATGGGCATACACATAGCTTTTCGAGTCCCTGATTTCCACGTATGTGAGTAAATACTTAGGGGCTGAATTGCTGGATTGCATAAATTACCATATATGGTAAATTTATGTTTATAGCCTTTTCAGGAACCACCAAACTGTTTTCTACAGCAGTTGAAGCATTTTATATTCCTACTAGCAATGCATGAGTGTTTCAGTTTCTTCACATCTTTGACAACATTTATTTTCTGTTTTTTTGTTAATACGCATCCTACTGGGTATAAAGCGGTGTCTCATTTTATTTTTTCTTATCATTTCTTCCATGACTAGTAAGGTTGAATATCTTTTCATGTGTTTATTAGCCATTTGAATATGTTCTTAGGAGAGATGATTGTTGAAAACTGTTACCGATATTTTAATTTTTTTGGTCAAGTTATATAGTTCTCTATATATTCTGGATTTTTACCCTTATTAGATACATAATTTGTAAATATGTCCCCCCATTCTGTGGGCTGCCTTATGTGTTGGTGTTCTTTGATTTGCAAAAGTATTTAATTTTGATGACACTGAAGTTTGTCTTTTTTTTTTGTTGCCTTTGACTTTGGTTGATATATCCAAGAAATCACTGCTAAATTTTATTTTATGTTTTTGTCAAAGGTTTTATAGTTTGAGTTCTTTTGTTTAGGCATTTGGTCCATTTTGAGTTAGTTTTTGCATATTACATTCTTTTGCAAATGGGTATACAACTTTACCAGCACCACTTATTAGAAAGGCTGCCCTTTCCCCCACTGAATGTGGAGAATTTTTTTCATGATATTTTTGCAATATAGAGCTTTAATCTCTTTACAAGTACTTGCTGACAGTGGAAGTTTTTCCACTTTTTTTTTTACCACAAGGTAAAAGTGGTAGTGATTCTGGTATGGGTAACTTAGGTGGTCATTATTACTATAGAGCCTTTTCCCTGTGTATTTTCAAAAAGATCAGTCTTCCTGAATTTTAGGGATTTGAGCACAATAATTCAATTATATATTTATAAATTTAAATGTGTTGAAGGTAAAGGGAAGATGTAAGTTAATTTAAACCCTTTAAATCTAGAAGAAACATAATCATCTGTTTTATTGAACTATATGCGCACTAATATTTTATATGAATATATTTTTTGTAGAGTCAACTGGATGTACCATTTAAAGTTAAAGTTGGTCATATAGGTAAGCTCTGTTTATTTGAATGTTCTCCTTGCTGGATGTGCAACCAGAATAATATGCTTAGTATTCTGTAATGTAACATTTTTTGTGTTTCTGAGCATTAATTGAAAATAATCATGTGTTTTCATATAGGTGGAACTTAACTTTATGACTTAAAAATATTGTGTGGTCCACATATTCTTTGCCCAGTATGTATGAAATTATACATCTTATTACTAAGGTGTTAAAAATGAGTTATTTGAGAGCTAAAACTTTGAGAGCATAACCCACTTGGTTTTTTAGGTTTGTAATTTGTTGTTATTTCTGTATTCTGATTGACTGTGGATATGTGGTGTAAGGAGTAGAGTCTAGAGCAGCCAGATGGTGTGGTTATGGACCTATCAGAAACCAAGTTTCTCCCCCTGAAAGTTTGCTGCATTTCCATGAATGTTGTGCTAGTTCTTTTTCTGTATTATTTTCCTGGTGTTGATATTTTGCATTTTAAATGTATTGCTGGAGCAAAAACTGATTGGAATGTGTGTTTTAAAGTGTTTGATTAAAAGGTACAAGGAATAAGAAGCATAAATTAGTAGGTACAAAATAGATGAGGGGAGGTTAAGAATAGTATAGGAAATAGAGAAGCCAAAGAACTTATATGTACAACCCATGGAGTTGAACTAAGTGGAGGTGAATGGAGGAGTGCAGGGCAGAGGGGGATGAAGCGGAGGAAAAAAATGGGACAACTGTAATAGCATAATCCATAAAATATACTTAAAAATAAAATGTTTAATAAAAACACACGTTTCATTTCTTATGCTTGCTTATTGTTTCAGTTTCATTGTTTAAATTACTGTTTGAACTTTATTCCTTTAAATATTGTACATGATGATAGTGTCATTATTTGAGACTTGAAAGTTATCTAGTTATACTTTGTTGTACAGATAGTTTGTGTACTAGTTAGGCTGCAGAGGATGGGGTGGGGATAGCATAGAAAAAGCATGCATTTTGAAAGCAGAGACCTGCCACCATTTACTAGCTGTGTGATATTGTGTCCTCAACATTCTTATCTGCATAATTGGGAAAGTCATAACCATGCAGGGTGACCATCATCATCATCATCCTCAGTTAGTAGCTCCTTTTGATTGAAGACTGTGTGCTGTATAGTGAATCTAGCACTTCAAGTGTATTATCTCATTTTGTTCCCATGACCATCTGATGGGGACAGTAATGCTGTTTCATATTACAAGTAAGGAAAGAGGCCTAAGTAGCTGCTCAAGATTTATGATGGCTCTTGGTAAAGTAGATACAGTATTTTTTTAAATTGTTGTACAATTGTCTCCATTTTTCTCCCACCACTCCCACCCATCCCCACTTCTTTCCCTCAATTCTATCCCCATTTGACTTTGTTCATGTGTCCGTCATATGTGGAACAAGGTATTTTGAAAGCTCATCTAAGTTATGTGATAAATATCTCCATAATTTTGTGCACTTATGGTTGGTGTTAGACCATGGGATATTTTTTCCTGTGGAGCTTTCCCTGCTGTGGGTTAGAATGAGTCATTCCAGACACAATCTGTTGTTTGGGCGCAAAAGGGGGTGGCTCTAGTAGAGAATGCCCTGAGCCCTTCTCCAAAACAGTTTTTATTGGAATCGGTATGTGCAGGGGTATATAGCACACATGCATAGCTCATCAGTCAATGTCCAAAGGCTGCAGTTACAAAAAACAGTTATTATTTATAGATCACAATAGAAAAAACAGATCTACCTCGGGTCAGGGTCTGTTAGACGTGCTGACACCAGATGGTTGTTAAGGCATATTTCATGAGATAAGGAGTTCACCCCTTATGCTTTGTACTTAAACATCTGGTTTACACCAACAGGGCTATAGCAAAGCAAAGCAAGCTTCAAAGGATAAAATGTATATTCTGCAGGCCTGATTTCCCATGGGAACCCTCAGTTTTAAATTGGGTTGTGCCTGCCGCCTGCATTCCCAGTGTTCCAGTCAAGATTTACAGGCCAGGCCTTGCTTGTGCGGGGCTACAGTCTCTGATACTACACGAAGTGGTCCCAGCAGTTAGAACGTTTGCCCATGGAAGTTTTTATTATTTTACATTGCTGAAGCACAAATTACCTCCACTCCTCCTAATTTAAAGACATTTTAGTATAAATAAGAGGAGAAACCTTGGCACCTATTACTTTTCCACCTAACATTTATTTTTTCATATTTCTATACAACTTTTTATTTGTACCCTTTAATTACTTGTAATCATAGTATATGTACAATTTCATACTCTAACATTTAATAATGATTTCTCATTAAATATCCATGTTAATTTGACCTCATTTATTTTTTATGGTAGTGTTACAACACAAATAGTATATATTTGGACATTGTAGAGAAATCATGTATTTTCAAAGCTACAAAAATATTACAGTAAATATTTTCACGTAGCTTTAAAAAAATTTCCAAAGTAATTGAATTTTATGATTGTAATTACTATATTTCAGTGTTTATAAATTTAACATCAATTCAAGAAAAGTAAAAAAATGTACAAGGAGGGTAGATAGATCTGATTTCATTTATAGCTTGCCCTCTTTCTTTCCTCTTTTTCTTACCTGAGCATGTTTAACCATGGTACTAATGCAGCTTTTAGTGTTATAACATGATAGTGGAAAGTATACTGCATTAAGTACCTAATACACAATAATTTCCATACTCATTTAAGGTATTGTTTACACACCTGTCATTCTTTAATACCATTTTTTTCTTCTGGACAATAAGTTTTTTGAGAAGTGGATTGAATTTTTATTGTATCTACAGCACTTAGCACAATACCTAGCATATAATAGAAACAATAATTAGTTGAATGAGAGAAATACATGTTTCCAAATGAGTGGTACAGTAGTAGTTTTATAGGAACATATTGTTCCCTTGCTATTATTGTATATTGTTATTCTTACTGATTTTTTGAAGTTTTCCTCATTAAGTATGCAGAATTCCACATTTATTGAATACAAATATTCATACATACATATTTTAAAAGTAGTTGTCTTCATGTGGGTGGTTTTTGGAATTAACCTTCATTTATATTTTTATGAAGTTTCCAAATGTTCTATAAGAAGACTACATCTTATAATGAGAGGAAAAAAAAGGTTGGTTAAGAAAAAGATTAAGTGGTGAAAATGCCACATAATTAATTTTACATGTTTTTCTTTGATTGTTCAATGCTATTTTGTCACTGTTCTCTGTCCTTAAGTTCATTTACTTTTTTTGGGTTATTAATGGATGTGTATATGTATGTAATCAGTCTGCTTGATACAATTATAAATAAACTCAAATATGTCACAACTCATTTCATTTTGGTTACATTTTGTACTATACAGAAATTTAAAATGGTCACCATCTTCTCTGATTTCAAAACTTAGAAAGTTATTCTTCTTTTAGAAATCTGATAGTTTCTTTTTCTCGAGATTGACATTGTGTGAAGAAATTTTTTTCTCAGTTTTTAAAACATGGGTTATGGAAAGAGATCTAGGTGGATTTTTTCCCCTTGCCAAATTACTAACCAGTCAATGTGATAATAGTGTATTTAATAATCTTTCCCTTTCTCAGTTATGACAGCTCTTTCTAAATCTGAAGACCATACTTTCTAAATAATTTAAAACTCTTTATTATATAATTTTCTAAATACAAAGCTAGAATCAATAGTATAGACAGCCCCTTATATAGTATTTTTTCACTCAAGATGTTTAATTCTTTTGCTCTCGGGTTATAAAATATTTGTTTAAATAATTCTCAGATATTTCCCATGACCTTCATTATTACTAGAGATATTTGTGTGTACATACTCTTGTGGTGATAATTATACACATGTATATTACTGTACATACATTCATACGTTGCATAATGACATTTTGGTCAACAGAAGACTGAGTATACTCTATGGTCTCTTGAAATTATAATGGAGCTGAAGAATTCCTGCTGCCTGGTGATGTTATAACTATTGCAGCTCAGTGCATTTACTCATGTGGTTGTGGTGGTCCTGGTGTAAACAAACCTACTGCACTGCCAGTTTAAAAGTATGGCACATACATTTAGATACAGTGTATAATACTTAATAAAGATAGTAAATTATTTATTGATTTATGTATTTACTTTATACTTTCTAATTGTATTTTAGAGTGTACTTTTTCTACTTAAAAGAAGTTGGTTGTGAATGATTTCCCATGTTACACCTACAACAGCGTCATACATCTTGTGCTTAACTCAGTTGCCCGATTGTATCATTTTCTCTTGTGCTTGATTTAATTTTGTGTTTCTTTGTATAAGAACATTCTGTACAGGTTTGTAGTCCAGGAGCAACAGGCTATGCTACATCACTTAGGTGCATACTAGGCTAGACCATCTAGGTTTGTATAAGTACACCTTACGATGTTTGCACAATGACAAAATCACCCAGTAACAAATTTCTTATAATGCATCCCCATTGCAAAGCTGCAGATCTCTGAAGGTCTGCAGCTTTATCTTCTGGAGGTCAGGCCCCTTGTAGTACAGGCCCCTGGTAGATGAGTGTTCTAGGAACCCATCTGTATCAGCATACCAGCTGGTGGTGGTGTGAGAGGCTGTCTGTATTCAGATTGAGTGATTTTTTTTATGACTCTTTTAGCAGGTTTGCCCATTTCATAATGGGTGATTTACTAGCATACCTACCCACACACCTTGCTGAGTGTCCAGTAGCTTGTGGCCAAAGAACAGCATGACCCTGGTGCCCCACACTCCCTATTTACCTGATCTCATCCTGAGCGACATTTTGTTTCCCTGTATGAAAAAAAGTCCTCAGAAAGAAATGTTTTGCTGATGTGAAAGAGGTGAAACAAAAAAACAGCAGAAGTACTTAAAAGGCATCAAAATCGACAAGTTCAAAAATTGTTTTGAGCAATGGAAAAAACATCTTGATAGGTGTATTACATCAAATGGAGAGTACTTGGAAGGTGATTGAAGTTTAAACATGTAAAAATAAATACAGTATTTTAATAAATAAATTGCATTTTGGGGGATTGCCACTCATACATGTGAAAATAACACAAAGTATATATCTACTGTTTTAAAGTATATGGAAATTACTTAGAGTAAGAATGAGGAGATTCTAAATATCAAGGATTGATACAATATCAAGGATTGTTAATCGAAAAAGAATATTAGAATGTTTGTGATACAGATTGTCATAAAAATAAACTTATAAATATTTAGGTTATCATTTAGTAAATTTTCCAATAATACTAATACAAATAATTTCAAATTTTCCCAAAAGGCTTGCTTTTTGTTATAAAATAGCTTTGTACAAAGTGACTGAGCTTGTGATGTCAGAGGTCACTATCTCTGCTGATGTCTGACAGGAAATAGGCTCACAGTAAGTATTGGTTAAGTGAATAATTTTTTGTTTTTTTTTTTTAATGTAGGTAATCTAAATCTTAAAATTCCATGGAAAAACCTGTATACTCAACCTGTTGTAGCTGTACTGGAAAACATTTATTTACTCATAGTGCCTTCTTCTAGTAAGTCAAATTATAAACATTGTAATTTAAGTTATTCTTTTTTGTGGATGGAAAGTCTTTATATTCTATTTGTTCAAAATATTTTGGGGAAAAAATTGAAAAATATTTATTTATTTTTAGAGAGAGGGGAAGGGAGGGAGAAAGGAAGACAAACATGGATAGGTTGCGTCTCATATGCTCCCCGACCAGGGACAGAATTGCAACCCAGGCATGTGCCCTGACCAGAAATCGAACCAGTGACCTTTCCCTTTGCAGAATGACACCCAGCCAACTGAGCTACATGGTCAGAGTACTTTTGGGGAATTTTCTTTTAATATTTAAATTTGGTAATAGGTAATTGAATTAAATTACCTGTGTTAAATTTTTTTGTTTGGGTTATGTCTAGGCTTTTATGTTAAATTTTTGCAAACTTGGAACTAGTGATTATTTCCTAGTACATTTTTTGGAATGAGTCTTTAAGATAAGATTCTTTTTATGTTCCCTGTAGTAATAAAATATGATCCCTTAAAAGAAGAAAAGCAACTCTTGGAAGCAAAGCAACAGGAACTAAAAAGAATAGAAGAAGCAAAACAAAAAGTAGCTGATCAAGGTAAAGAAAGCAAATAAGAACTGTAATAAGAAATGGGGAAAAGACATAAATATTGGTTACATTTGAATATTAATTTTATCTGGAAACACCAAGATTACTTAACAAATATGAGAGAAATATATTACATGGAGCATTTTAATGTAGTGTATTCTATTATGTTTATAGAAATTTTAGCTTACAAACATTTACCTTAGGGCAAATGGTACACCTAGCCTGTAAGGGCAAGGTTGGTTTTTAACTATAGTAATTAACTTAATTAGTTTTTTCTTTCTAGCCTTTTTTTAAAAATTAAATTTATTGGGGTAACACTGGTTAATAAAATTATGTGAGCTTCAGGTATAAATTTCTACCAAACATCATCTGTGTATCATATTGTGTGTTTAACACCCCAAGTCCACCCAAGTCCATCACCATTTATTCCCCCTTTTCCCTCTTTTATCTCCCCCAAGCAACCCCTGCAGCTATCACCATACTGTTGTCTGTGTGCGCGAGTCTTTCTATTTTTTCTTCGCTTAGCTAGCCTTTTATTTTTATTCTTGCTATAAGTTTACCTTTTGGATGTATTTTGTCCCTAGATGTACTTAAATTTTTCCAGATCTGTTTATTTACTCTCTGGTTTCAGAACCCAAATGGTCCATTACTTTAATCCCTTCTTTTGTTGCTGGAAGAGATGTCCTGCAGAAATTTAATCCTTTTCCACTTGTGCTTCATGCAGCATCAGCAGCTACCTTTTGTCCTCAGACTCTGACTTTTCTCTCTAGTGAATCTTTCTTCTTAGCATGTAAATATACTGTAGCATTTATCTTCTAACATAAAATCATGTTTCTAACCTAGTCATTTGTTGATCTTCTCCTCTGTCCTTCATTAAAAAATTAAACATCTTAAAAATAAATATGAGGCCTGTCCAGAATGTATCCAGCCATGTAACATGAAAAATGCAGACATTTATTGAAGCAGATACAAGATACAAGAAACATGGTACACAAGACAATGCCACCTCAGTCCCCCTCAAAGTAGGCACCTTGGGGCCTCACACAGTTCTCCCAATCATCATCAGCTGTCCTCCAGTCCTCTCTTTCCTAAGTCTTCTAGGATTTTTCCTTTAATTTTTTAAATTTTATTGAGAGAGAATAAATACATATACGTTGATTTAAAAGATAAATAGTAGTTTATGACCTATAATTTAAGGAAATTCTGTCTCCTGGCTTAACTACTCCTTATAGATCTATTTTCATGTTTTTAAGGGTTTGGGTTTTTTTGTTTATTTCCAAATGGCTACATAAGATGATTATGTCTTTATTACTTGATTTATTATATTTATATATCATTTTATATATAAACTTAATTTTATGTACTATGAAGATTAACCTCTTTTCCGTATTCCCAGTATAGATATGTCACATTTTTGTGTAAATCAGTGTTCATTGTTTATGTTCCCATGGCTTTATATAAGAGTTTACCACTGATCCAAATAATATTCTCTGATTACATATATTTTTTGGTACAGCTTTATTATTTGCTTGGCAATAGTAGGTTGATCTGGGTCTGGTTGTTTATTATATAGATCTTTTTACTTATGTGTTTTTGGTGTGATAAAATCTCCCGGTACCTTCATCTATGTGATTTCAGAGTTGGAGCCTGCCACGTTAATTTTCTCTAGAATAAACCCTTCCTTGTTTATTGGTGTAGGAAAAGGGTAGTTGCTTTGCTATGTGGGCTGGGAGAAGGAGAGTGAGTACCTGGAAGTCTCTAACTGCTCATTATACAGACTCAATCAATCTGTGTATTATACCCCTCCACCATTCTTTTTACTATTCATGTTTTCTGAGGACTCCAGTTCCTAAATCTTTCCAGGGTTTGTTAATTCCTTCCTCCCTTTCCTCCTTTCTCTTTCCCTTTCCCTTCCCTTTTCCGCCCCCCCTTCTCCTTCCCTTCCCTTCCCTTCTTCTTTTTTTTTTTTTTTTTTTTTGGCTCATCTTGTGTTTCATTGTTATCTCTGTCTATGGGCATTTAGGAATGAATTTCTTTTCTGAGTTGGCTAAGGCCATCTGCTTTCCAGCTTCTAATTTTTTGAAGCTATCTATTTCTTATATATTCTTTCTCTTATACTCTTTCTTTTGGCCTTCTGCATTTATCTATTTTAACCTTTACTTTTTGCGTTATGGAGTTTTACTGAAAAATAGGAAAATATTCCTCTTAGATACAATCCATCATGTTTAATCAGATGTCCCTCCTATTTCTATATATACTTAGGTCTAAAAGACAACTGTTTAACCATGCTTAAAATTGATCAGAGATACCTTATTGTTACAATGTAGAAGTTTGAACTCTTACGCATGATATATAAAAGCTCTTGTGATTTGAATCCTGCCTACTTCTCCAGCCTCATTATTGCTTCTCTCGTATCTCCTCTATTGTTTGCTCCAGCCATACTGACCTATTTGTAGTTTACTGAATACCAACTTCTCTGTGATTGTATCTCACTTCCTACATTATCCAATATATATGTGAGAATTACCAGCATATTTTAAACTATAAGGTGTGGACACTATTCCTGTAGCAGCAGTGTAGAATGAGAAGAGAATCCATCCTAGCACTGAGCCCTAAGGAAATCCCACATTTTATGATTGTATAGAGGAGAATACAATGACCAAGAAAAAGATGACCAAGGAGGAGTGGTCAAATAAGTAGAAGGAAATGTGGAGATTATGATTCCATGGGAAAAAGGGTGTTTTAGGAAGAAAAATGTATCAGATCCTACTGAGATACCAGGTGAATATAGGATTAGGAAATAATCATTTTATTTAAGATACAGAGGTCATTGGTCACCTTAGAAATAGATATTTTGATTGATGATTTCAGAAAAGGAGCTTCTATTTCTTCCAAAGTTGGAAGCAATGTCATGTACTAAGAGAGCAGTGGGAAGGTTGTTGGAACTTTGAGGAAATTCAAAAATAATTTTTAAATAGTTGTTCTGGAGAGAGTGAACAAGTTGACTGGAGAATTGTAGCAAGGCCGCTGGTTGGTAGAAATTGGGGATGGCTAATTTACCGTAATTCTAGTCTGCCCTATTGTGATTTTTCTCCTGCAGTGCTCACCTGGCAAGACATGGGTGTGTTGATATTAAACATAGATAGTTGGTTTTATTCAGGGTTGGAGCTGTATCGACAGAAGAAAATGAGAAAAAAAGACCAAGACTTTAAAGTATTGGTGAAATAAATTATGGAATCTGAGCTGGAAAAAGAAATCAGGAGGGAACTAATGGATAATCAAAGAAAGATTTAGCATTTAATTGAATGAACAAATTTATAGAGTAAAGGGTTTTATTAAGTAGTGGTGTGATTTAAAGATTAAAAACCTCTGTTGTCAAAGAGCTTGTATGTACTTACTAATTCTAAAGTTCTTATATTCAAATATGTTTACTTCTCATTCACTCACACTGACATTTTCACCAGCTTTCCTTTAAGGCCTCCTACGCCAGCTGAGTTAGGGAGTAGTTGGTCATGAGAGGAAAAGATAGGTAACACGTATGTGCAGGTAGAATAGGACCAGGAAGAGGAAAGGAGAGAGCTTTCACTGGCATTTTTAAGTGGGGGAGAAAAAGGGTAGTAACTCATTGTTATCAAAGGCATATTAAAAAGACTAGGAACCTCAATTTCTTATTCTTGCTGTTTCCCTAAAAAGTATTGAAACTGGAGATAGTAAATATAGTTTTTAGGGGAAAAAAGATGATGAACTTCATTCTTGCTGGGAAGGAGAGAGGGAAATAATTATATTTTGTAGTCTTCAGGACGAGGATTGTATTCAACTGTTTTACACATCTAACAACAGACAACTTATGACGTTACCATTAATTTTAATAGAAAGTCCGTCTTTGCTGCTCTCTCTGTCTTTTCTCATTGAATTCTATTATAATTCTTACCTAACAATCTTAATTGTTTTTCATATCTTTATTTATTCAGGTATAGTTAACAGAGGGAAGCTATTCAATTTAATACCAATACATTCTGCAAGGTTGACTTTAGTTTCTCTGAACAAGAAGCTAGTTTTTGAACACCGTGTTTTTAGTTGCTTTTGAAAGTCTTTGGTACCAAAGACTTTTGGAAAGCAAATCTGCATATATAGATTTTTTTCTTTAACAAGGTAACATTTATTTTACCTCAGTATGTGGACATTTATTGAGTATATTTTTCATTCAAGTTAAAAAAGAAATATTTGTAATTCTAGAAAAACACCTGGTGGAGAGACAGGACACTTTCACAGAAAAATTAATTACTCAGATCATAAAAAATCTTCAAGTGAAAATTTCCAACATCCATATTCGTTACGAAGATGATGTAAGTATTTAATAGATGATACTTGTTTTTATATTTATAGATATTCTACTGTTTATTGAAACCTGCTTTGTAGAAGCCAGCCTATTAGATTTTGGGAAGTGGAGGGATAGGGCTAAAGATGACATGATCTTTCTTTCTTTAACTGTAGTTGTAATTTGCAGTCCTTACTGTCTTGATTATATTTTTGTAAAATGTTCAAACATTAGATATTGGAAAAAATGCCTTTCTTATCACCTTTGATAGGTGGGGGTTATGAATTTAGCTATTATGTATTTTTAATATATTCAAATCATACAATATTTATCTCCTGTGTCAAGCACTGGTCTAGGAATCAGTAGAACAGGACTTAAATAATTGATCTCAAATAGATCATGTATTCTCTCTAAAACACATAATAAATAGCTTCTTATAGTACTATTGCGAGGGTAAATCATTTGTTTATAAGCTTTTTTTTGTAAACTGAAATACATTGTGTAGGTATATTATTACTCTACAACACTGATGCATTGATACTACTTTAATTTGTACTGTATTAGGAAAAATATATGAATAAAAATTGTTCTGAAAAATATTAAAGTGTTTTCAAATGCTTGAAATGGCATACTTCCCAGAAAGTGAACTTTTTTTAAAATGTGAATTTTGTTCCACTACTAAAAATCTGAGTAAAATTTACTGTGTTTCCTCTTTAGATCACAAATCGAGAAAACCCACTCTCATTTGGTATTTCCCTTCAAAATCTCAGCATGCAGGTACTTTATTTAAAAATAAATTTAACCATATTTAATGTGTAGTATGGATAATCAGACTACTAATTACTATTTACTTATGCCGCCATCAAAAAATAGGCATCTATATAGAATTGGTACAGAAAATTCATAGATGAGATTAGAAATGAGGATAGGTAATTTCACATTTAAAATCATGGTGGTAATCAAATTCAAGTTAAAATATGAGGGCCTGTTTTTATTTGCTAATTATCATAGTTGATACTTTTTTACTTAAAAGAATCCATTTCTGAGTGTGTATAAAAGTTATAAATGTTTATTTTAGAAACTTTGGTATGTCATGAAGAGTGTAAAGAAACAAATCACCATGTCCTCACCACCAATAATAATAATCATCTTTCTAATTTTTCAGATTGAAGAATTTATAAGTATAGAAGTATGCAGTGGATTATGAAACATTTGCTTCATAATCATTCTGCAACCAGAATGACTCCTTGTTAAATTTGTCATTTGGTTTGACTTATTTGTCTATAAATTCCCTTTTTCTCTTCACAAAGTTTTAAATACTTTAAAAGAATAAACTGCTACAAATAAAGTTTAAATATTATATTTGTTCTCTACTACTACACTTTCCTCCTACTGCAGAGGTAATGTCCTAAGTTTTTAAATTTCATATAATATAGCCATTAAAATTTTATATAGTATTTGGTAGATTTTTTAAAGTTTTACATAAGTATTTTATACGCTTCTATAAGTTCCCTTTTTCTTTTCACAATGTTTTTGACATCTGTGTTGCCAGCGTGTAGTTCGGTTCACTCAGTTTAACTGCCATGTGGTGTTTTATTACATGCTTTATTTGTTATATCCATTGGGTTTTTTGTGTATGATTTATTTTTGGTCTTTATTTTCTTACCCTCACCTAAGAATCTGTTTACTGAGTGTAGAGAGAGGGAGAGGGTGTGGAAAGAGGGACGTCAGTGTGTGAGAGAAAAGCATCTATTGGCGGCCTCCCATATGAGCCCAACCAGGGATCGACCTGCAACCTTATCTAGTGTACGGGACAATGCTTCAACTAACTGAGCCACCCAGCCAGGGCATGTGTGACTACTGTTTAACACATGGGCCCACTACAAGCAAAAGAAAAAGTCACATGTTGGAGCATTTAAACATGTCCTAGAGGTACCTAAGCCTCTCCTCCTTTTTTTGAATTCTTGTTTCTTCATACTTTTCTGTTTGGTCATTTTTTTCTTCCTTCTGGTCTGCTCCCTTGATTTGAGTCCCAGTTTCCTTTCCATTACTATTGGTTTCCTGTGCATTTCCCTTCATTTCAATTAGTTTACCCTTCATTTGTTCCTCTAATTTGTGACTAAAATCAACCAGTTCTGGGATCATCCTGATCACCAGTGTTTTGAACTGTGCATTTGATAGGTTGGCTATCTCTTGGTCGCTTAGAAGTATTGACTCTGGGGCTCTGAGCTGTTCTTGAGTCATAATGAATTACAGGGGTATAAGAAGGGGAAGAAGAAGAGAGACAAGTGGAAAACTTATTTGAACAAATAATAAAGGAGAACTTCCCCAATCTGGCAAAGGAAATAGACTTCTAGGAAATCCAGGAAGCTCAGAGAGTCCAAAGAAGTTGTACCCAAGAAGGAACACACCAAGGCACATCATCATTACATTAGCCAAGGTTAAAATGAAGGAGAGAATCCCAGAAGCAGCAAGAGATAGGGGGACAGTCACCTACAAAGGAGTGTCCATCAGACTATCAGCTGATTTCTCAAAGGGACCTTACAGGCAAGAAGGGGCTAGAAAGAAGTATTCCAAGTCATAAAATCCAAAGACCTACATCCAAGATTGCTCTTTCCAGCAAAGCTTTCATTTAGAATGGAAGGACAGATAAAGTGCTTCTCAGATAAGGTCAAATTCAAGGAGTTCATCATCACCAAGCCCTTATAATGAAAAATATTAAAGGGACTTATCTAAGAAAAAGAAGATAAAAAAGATGAACAATGAAAGGACAGGAAACTCATAGTTATTAACAACCACACCTAAAACAAAAGCAAACAAAGAGGACAGCTAGATCAGGAGCACAACCATAGAAATGAAGATCACATGGAGGGTTAGCAACAGGGGAGTGGGAGAAGGAGAAGGGGGGAGAAGGTACAGAAAATAAGTAGCATAGACAGTAGGTAGAAAATAGACGAGGGAGGGCAAGAATAGTAGGGGAAATATAGAATCTAAAGAACTTGTGACTTGTAGACATAAACTAAAGGGGGGGAATGGTAGCAAAGGGGGTGTGCAGGGTGGAGGGGAATGAAGGGGGGAATAGGACAAGTGTAATGGCATAATCAATAAAATATATTTAAAGAAATAAAATGAAAAGAAAAAAGGAAAAGCCATATGAAGTTATTCAATAAAGTTGAGTGGGGTAAAGTGGCAAATGATGCTCTTATGTTGAAAAATTAAGGATGGAGAATTAACTGTTGGATTTGGCATTGTGAAAGTCATTGGTGACTGTGACAGCAGTGGTTTTGACCATCCTCTTTGGAGGTCCTGGAAATTTGTCTCCCAGCCTAGATGTATTCAAATAGAAACAGGAATGGCCCTAGCATTCCATGTTTTAAAAATGCTCTGTGTGATTCTATTGCAAAAGAAAGTTTGAGAATCATTGTTCTAATTCATTCAGTTCTACAAAAAAATGAAAACCGTCTTTTTAAATGAGTACCGGATCACTTTATTGTCCTCAGTGGCTTTTTGTTGCTTTTAGAATAAAGTTCATAGTTTTGTCTTCAAGTCATTTATAATCCTTTTGTAATCTGATCCCAAGTAACATACCTGGTTTCAGCTCTTTTGTTTTGCATTATGTTTTCTGGTCATACTGGGCTCCTTAAGTTCTCTGAACCTGTCATGTATTTGCACATCTTTTTAGGATGAATCATTCCCTGGGGATCTTAGAGTCAGTAATTTCTATTCGTGTGTCATATATTAGGTTAGACATCACTTTCTTCATCACATCTCAAGTTTGAGGCTCATACTGTGTTCTCCCAGCACTGTGTATTTAACCTGTATAGTGGTACTTCTTTGTAATTGCTTCAATCAGCAAGGAGCTCCTTGAAAACAGACCTTCTTATGTTCAGTTAATATCCGAGGATATTTCATGGGAAATTGGTCTAGGACATGATAGATATGATTTATCACTCTGCCACACATGACATGGAAATGACAGTTTTACTACCGTTTTTCCTTTTCAGACGACTGATCAAAACTGGGTTCCTTGTTTACAAGATGAAACTGAGAAACTATTTCGTAAGGTAATAAATATTCTATTTTGTCAACCTAGAGAGTTGATGAAAGAGACTTTTAGAAAAGCTAATGGTAATATATAACATGAACTTATGTGAATTGTGTTTACTCGCTTAACTCTGTTATATGACTGAATTGTTTGGGACTTCTGAAAATAGCATGTGTTAAAGATCCTTCAAAGAAAATGAGACCTATAATAAACTGTTTATTTTCAGTTAATCCGATTGGATAACCTTTTTGCCTATTGGAATGTGAAGTCTCAGATGTTTTATCTTACTAATTATGATGATTCGTTGGTAAGTAATTTTTATATGTTATACACATATGTTGATACTGTATTTTGTATAAAGCTTTTTTCATTGTCATTTATTTAACATACAGTAGTGAGTGATAATTTTTTTAAGGCCAAATCTGTTAGCAGAATTTACAGAAATAGGTGAATGCATATGAGGTCTGTCCAGAAAGTATCCAGCCACACAATGATAAAACTAGAGACATTTATTGAAGAAGATAGAAGACAAAAGAAACATTGTACACAGGACAATGATGCTTCAGTTCCCTTCAAAGTAGGCACCTTGAGACCTCACATAGTTCTCCTAATCATCATCAGCTGCCTTGTTGTATTTTCCTGTATCTCATCAATAATCTGAAATCTCTTCCCTTTCAAAGGTGATTTTAGTTTTGGGAAAAGCCAGAAGTCACAGGATGCCAAATCTGGGCTGTAGGGGGGCTGAGTCACCTGGGTGATTCGATGTTTCATCAAAAAACTCTTCACAAGACATGATGCATGAGGGGGCACATCATTGTGTGCTGCCACACCACCAGTTGCCCATAGCTGCAGCCTTCTGAATCATCTGAAGTTTCTATGGAGGAATGTTCAGGCTTAACACAAAATTTAATGCAGATTCATTGCTTTCCTCAGTCATTTTGAGTATGATGGCCACACAGTACACATGCTCACCCAACGGCATCTACTGCCCTCACTGACTAGTACAGTGAAGTTATTGTTCACAGATGGGCATTCTGGTCCACTTTCCTTGGTTTCCAGGTTAACATTGCTATTGTACCAACTGTTCTCATTATATTAACAATGGGTAGACTTTTTCTGGACAGACCTTGTAAGTGTCTGTACATGAACATGTATAGACAGCTTGTTTTTAATAATTGACATAAAACATTATACTAGTTTCATCATAATGATTTGATATTGCATATATTACAAAATAATCACCTCAATAATTGTAGTTAACATCTGTCATCATACATAGTTGGAAAATTTTTTTTCATGGGCTGGGCAGAGGAGGGCAAGTGGCAAAAACTGGGACAACTGTAATAGAGTAAGAATAAAAATAAAAATACTTTTTGCCTGAGATGGGAACTTTTTTAAAAGTGTATTTTATTGATTATGCTGTTACAGATGTCCCATTTTTTCTCCCCTTTGTCCTCTTCTGCCCGGTACCCCCAAACCCTCCAGCACTGCCCCCCTTTAATTTAAGTTCATGGGTTGTACATATAAGTTTTTTTGCTGCTTCATTTCCTATACTATTCTTAACCTCCCCATATCTATTTTGTATTTTCCAATTATGCCTCTTATTCCCTGTACCCTTTTCCCCATTATCCACCCTCCCCCTCCCTGCTGATAACCCTCCATGTAATCTCTATTTCTGTTAATCTTTCCTGTTCTAATTGTTGCTTAGTTTGTTTTTTTAAGTTCAGTTGTTGATAGTTGTGAGTTTGTTGTCATTTTACTGTTCATAGTTTTGACCTTCTTGTTCTTAGATAAGTCCCTTTAACATATCATGTAATAGGGCTTGGTAATGATGAACTCTTTTAACTTGACCTTATCTGGGAATCACTTTATCTACTCTTCTATTCTAAAAAATAGCTTTGCTGGGTAGAGTAATCTTGGATGTAGATCCTTGCTTTCATGACTTCAAAACTTACCAGCCCCTTCTTGCCTGTAATGTTTCTTTTGAGAAATCATCTCAGAGTCTTTCGAGAAATCAGCTCAGAGTCTCAGAACTACTTTGCAGGTAACACTCTTCTGCTACTTTTAAGATTCTCTCCTTATCTTTAATCTTGAGTAATTTATTTATGATGTGTCTTGGTGTGGCCCTCTTTGTGTCTTACTTGTTTGGGACTCTCTGAGCCTCCTGGACTTATTGGAAGTCTATTTCCTTTGCCACATTGGGAAGTTTTCTTTCATTATTTTTTCAAATAAGTTTCTAATTTCTTGTTCTTCTTCTTCTCTTCCTGGCACCCCATGTTCGGATGTTGGAATGTTTAAAGTTGTCCTGAAGGTTCCTAAGCCTCTCCTCGTTTTATGAATTCTTGTTTACTCATTCTGTTTTGGCTGAATGTTTATTTCTTCCTTTTGTTCCAAAGCATATGAGTCCTGGCTTCCTTCCCTTCATTGTTGGCTCCTTGTGTTTTTTTCTTTATTTCATTTTGTATAGCCTTCACTTCTTCCTTTATTTTGCGTTTGTACTCAGTCATTTCTGTGAGCATCCTGAATACCAATGTTTTGAACTCTGCATCGGATAGGTTGGCTATCTCTGCATCACTTACTTAGTTCTTTTTCTGGAGTTTTGCTCTGTTCTTTCATTTGGACCCTATTTCCATGTCTTGCACATGTGTTTTGTTGTAAGTGGCAGAGCCTTAGGTATTCACCAGGGTGAGGCAACCCATGTGTCGTGCTGCTGTATGTGGGGGAGAGATCAGAGAAGGAACAGTGCCTCTCTCTCATCTCTCAGCTGCCTTGCCTGCCTGTCTACCAGCTGCCACCTTGCCACACATCTCCACCCCTCCTGCCAGTCTGGATGATTGTTTCTTCTTTAACTTCTTGATTGTTGGGCTTCCATACAGTTCAATTTTTTGACAGTTCTGGTTGTTCTTTATTTTTAGATTGGTTGTTTCCTTCTTTTGGTTGTGCAAGGGGGCAAAGGTTATCTGCCTACACCTCCATCTTGGCCTGAATGCTCCTGAGATGGGAACTTTTAACATTCTCTTGGCAACTTTTAAATGTGCAATGCAGCATTATTAACTGTAGTCAATGATGCTGTATGTTAAATCCCCTCTACTTATTTATTTTATAACTAGAAGATTGTACATTTTGATTCCTATCACCCATTTTGCTTCCACCTATCCTCTGCCCTTGGCAACCACCAGTTTATTCTCTATATTAATGAGTTTTCTTTGTAGAGTCCACATATAAGTGAGGTCATGCAATATTTGTCTTTCTCTGCCTGACATATTCTATTCATTGTACTGCCTTCAAGGTCCACCTGTGTTGTCTCTAATGGCAAGATTCCCTTATTTTTCTATGGCTAAATTATATTTTGTTACATATATGGCCACATTTTCTATTAATTCATCTGTTGATGGATATTTAGTTGTTTCTGTATTGTATAAAAAGTGTAAATAATGTTGCAGTGAACTGAATTCACAGTTTTTGAGATAGTGATTTTGTTTTATTTGGATAAATACCCAGATGTGAAATTGCTGGGTCATATGGTAGTTCTATGTTTAATTTTATGAGGAATCTCCATACTGTTTTCCATACTGGTTGCAACAATTTACATTCCATCAGCATTGCACAAAGGTTTCCTTTTCCTCATATTCTTTCCAACACTTGTTATTTCTTGTCTTTTTGTTAATACTCATTTGAAGAAGAATTAGGTAATATTATATTGTCATCTGATTTGCATTTCCCTGATTAGTGAGGTTGAGCATTTTTTCATGTACCTGTTGGCCATCTGTATGCTTTCTTTGACCCTCTGCTCATTTTTTAATCAGATTGATTGTTTTACCTACTTTTAATTGTATCAGTTCTTTATGTATTTTGGATATTGACCCCTTATCAGTAGGTTTTCTCCCATTCAGTAGGTTGCCTTTTTAGTTTGTTTATTGTTTCCCTTGCTATGCAGATGATGTAGTCCTACTTGTTTTTCTTTTTGTTTTTGTTGTGTTTGTTCTTGGAGTGACATCCAAAAAAGTCATCAATAAGACAGATGTCATGGAGCTTACCATGTATGATTCTTTTCTAAAAGTTTTATGGTTTCAGGCCTTGCATTAAAATTTTTAATCCATTTTGAGTTAATTTTTGATTATGGTATAAGATGGTGCAGTTTTATTTTTTTGCATGTTGTCTGTACAGTTTTCCCAAGTTTAATCATTTGTAGTAAGTTTAAGTTAGTTAAGCATGTGTAGGAACTTATTTCTGGATTCCCTGTTTTATTAGAGACTGATAAATGCACTGATCTGTGGGTCTGCTTTTGTTCTAGTACTATACTGCTTTGATTACTGTAGCTTTGCAGTAGAGTTTGAAATCAAGGAGTGTCATGCCTCTAGCTTTGTTCTTGTTTCCCAAGATTGCTTTGGCTATTTGGGATTTTGTGATTCCGTATAAAATTTATGATTGTTTTCTTTCTGTGAAAAATGTAGTTGGAAATTTGATAAGGATTGCATCAAATCTGTAGATTGCTTTGGATAGTATGGATATTTAAACAATATTAATTTTTCCAATCTTGAGTGTGGAATATCTTCCTATTTATTTGTGTCTTCAATTTCTTTCATCAAAGTTTTATAGTTTTCAGTGTATAGTTTTATAGTTTTCAGACATCTTTCACCTCCTTAGTAGATTTATTCCTAGGTATTTTATTCTTGTTGATGAAGTTATAAATGGTATTGTTTTCTTAATTTTACTTTCTTATCGTTTGATACTAGTGTAGAAGAAATTTTTTATCCTGCATCTTTACTGAATTTGCATATTCTAACAGGTTTTTTTGAGTGGAGTCTTTGGAGATGTTATAAATAATATCATGTTATCTAAATAGTGACAGTATTATTTCCTCCTTTCCAGTTGGGATGGCTTTTCTTTTTCTTGCTTAATTTTTCTGACTATGGCTTCCAGTACAATGTTAAATAAAAGCAGTGATAGGGGGCATCCTTGTCTTATTCCCGATCTTAGAGGAAAAGCTTTCAGCTTTTTACTATTGAGTGTGATATTAGCTGCAGGTTTATGATATAAACCTTTTATTATATCTAATCATATTAATCATAAGTAGATATCAAATTTTGTTAAATTTTATATATGTGCTTGTATGTTTAAACACACACATAAATCTCAATATTTCTAAGATATTCTTTTATGAGTTATTGTCTAATGAAATATTATCTAACCACTGTAATATTTTTATATCTAAATCCTCCTGTTTGTTTTTTTAAACTTTTAAACTTTAATTTTGCATATAATAGGATTTTGTAAAGATGAAGATATATTGGCCTTAATAGAAATAAAAGCAATTGTTTTTTAATAGGACAGCTTGAAGACTGGCATTGTCAATGAAAATATTGTTCCAGGCGGTTATGATTTTGGTAAGTACAGTTCCAAAATAAAAATTGCATATTTTATTTTTTCATCAGCATAAACTTTAAATAAACATTATTGATATTATTGTGATATTTTATGTCAGTTTTATTATGTAATTAAATGTATTTATATATATATATGCAAAAGCAAAACACATATTATTCATTGTTGTTGAGCTACAGGCTATATATCAAAACCAGGAAAGAATAATTTGCAATAAGAGGGGTTGCTAGTAAATTGTGAAGTCTCTAAGGACTACTTAATAAGAATTATGATGCCTTTTAAAGACATTTTGACACGGTAGATACAGTTTAGTGAGGCTAGCTGCTGTCGTCTACAGTGTGATCTTACTATTTAAAAAATGGCTACTTAAAATTTTTCTTTTTATATTTTTATCTGGTTTTAAATCTTCTTAAATGAACATATAGTACTTTAACAGTCAGAAATAAGTTACTAAAATATGCAGAGAAATGGAGGACTGTTTCTTTTACCCTGAAGGCACTCGATAACTACCGATTGGCAGTGGATAACTTAGTTCTTGGATTGACTGACAGTGTCATTAACCATGACTCTCCTTCCTGAAAGTATTTCTTTTTCTGACTTTAGTGGTGTGTTTTTGTGTACTTCTACTTTCATAAATATTCTTTATTAATTTTTTGAAGTGGCTCCCTTTGTGTTCACTCTTAAAATATTATTTTCATGGTTTTGAATTGGTTTCATTTTCTTGATTCTCTCCTCAAAGAAAACATTAAGAACAGATGGGGTTGTTTGCAATGTGTGTGGATTCTCAAATCTGTCACTTTAGGTTTGACTTCTTTTTCTTTCTTAAACTGTCATTTTCAACTGTATCAGTCAGGTCCAATGAAGAGAGAGAGAAACCAAAATGTATTTTGAGTAGGGACAGTTTAAAGCATTACAATTTGTGTAATGGGATTGGATTAACAAAGGAAATATTGTTGAAAAGTAGAGAGAAATCTAAAGAATCAAGGAGTAGTCGATAGAAGAAATAGCTCCTAATCAACGACTGAGATGGAGTGTTCAAAGAGGAGAGTCTGCTTTCCTCAGCACTGGAGTCTAGAACTTGTTGGAAAAGGCACGGCCATGGCTCATTGGTTGGAATTATTGAAGTAATTAATTATGGTATTTCAATAGGGTAGGGAGGGAACTGAGAATATGAAGCAGAGGTGAAGGACAGAGAGGGGATCAATGAATGTACATCCCCCAGAACTTGAAGGATTGGTATTGGAATACTAGAGAGATAGGCAGTGGTGGTGGTAAGGAGAGTTTGATGCTTGAGACCAAGTTTATAGGGTGGTTGAGGATAGTGGTGCAGTTGGGTCTAGTAGGTAAGGTAAGGGTGGAGGAACCCAAGGAACTGAGAGACCATGATTTTGGAAAGATCATTTGTGTATTGAAATCACTTGGAAATTAGAGTTGCCACAGCTAAAGTCTGAGAGAGGTAGAAGAGGGTGTGTAGCACAGAGATGGGTAGTTAATTGCAACTAGGGACATATGGGTGGTATAGCTTTTATGTAAAACAAGAATTAAAGTTGGAGAGAAGAATAATTTTATTTTTCAAATACTAATATTTTTACTTTATACATATACTTTTTAGACTTACTGTACCTTACATTTATATACATACAAAGATTTCTCATTTTTAACTGTATAGTATTTTGTTGTATATATGTACCATAATGAACTTAACTGATGATCTATTAGTGAATAGCTTTTTTCTCTTTTTTAAGATTATATTTTATTTATGCTAATGTTCCATTCAACTTAAAAGTATGTTTGAATGCTTAATATGTAAAAAATTAAGTGCTAGGCCTCAGGGATGATTAAAATGAGAGATATAGTATCAGTGTATAAATTAGATTATAATTTAATAGTTGATCTTTATTTAGATTCTGCTATTACTTGTCTTCCTCTGTGTTCTTCTCATTCTTTTTGGGCACTCAATACAAAGAGTTGAGAGAAATCTGTCTTAGGTTATGAGTTGAGCTAAGGAGGTTATCCTGAGCAAACTCTCACTCATCTTTTCTCTTCTTCTTTTTCAATTTAAAAGGGGAAAACAGATGGATACAGAGAAGCTGATTAGAAATTCAGAAATTATAATTATACAATGAAAGTCAGTGGTTTAATATGGGGTGGGCAAAAGTAGGTTTACAGCTGTGAGTATGTGAAACAGTTTATTCTTGTATTATTTATTTATTAATTATTGCATTATTCACCACCCCTGTATAATCTCTTTTCCTGCATTACTCATGTACCTTCCTTCCTTAAAACTGTGTATTGTTTTTAAAGCTACTATATTGGACTCTTTTGCCTTTTAGAGAGCATTCTTGCTTTCACAGCTTATGTTAGTGTCCTGAGGGGGAGTTTAGTTAGCCTTTATTGTACTTATAGATGGATGACAATATGATTTATAGATAGGAAAAAGATAAAAGAAACTTTTTCACCAATTAAGTGACAGTTCACCTGACCAAATCATAGCCCTGGGGAAATACAGAGACCGTGGAAAGGATATATAAGAAATGAAAATTAATATTTTCAACTTGGTCCCATGAGTACTTTGAAACTCTTGAAATATAACTTAGTTTATAAAAATTTGTATTATTTTTCAGTGTTTCGCCCCATATCTGCTAATGCCAAACTTCAGATGAATCGCCGATCTGATTTCGACTTTTCTGCCCCCAAGATAAACCTGGATGTTGAGTTACATGACATAGCAATTGAATTTAATAAACCACAGGTGACTTTTTAAATGGTATTTTAAATTGTGAGTTATAGTTTGATAGAAATAGAACTAAGATTTTAAATGGTTTTCAGAAATTCTTAATGTTACATTGTTAACTTTTTTAGGGGGTCAGTAATTTAACTTTTGTTTTTAGTAATTAGAAAAAACCTGAAACGTAAGAGCTTTAATTTTTTTGTTTTTACAGTATTTCAGTCTTATGGAGCTTCTTGAATCAGTTGATATGATGACACAAAATCTTCCATATAGGAAATTCAGACCTGATGTACCTGTTCACAACCATGCCAGAGAATGGTAAAATGTCTTAAATTTTAAAAATTGAAGTATAATTGACATACATTATATTACTTTCAGGTGTACGACATGATTCAATGATCACAATAATAGGTTTAGTTACCATTCATACCATATATAGCTACAAAGTTTTTCTTGTGAAAAGAAATTTTAAGATCTACTCTCTAAGCATCTTTTATATATGCAGTACAATATTAAGTATAGTCACCATGCTGTATTTTATATCCCTGTGACTTATTTTATAACTGAAAGCTTGAACCTTTTGACCTCCTTTACCCAGTTTGCCTGCCCCAAACCCTACCTCTGGGAGTTACCAATCTGTTCTCTGTATCTGTGAGCTCAGTTGTTTTTGTTTTTGTTTTTTAAAGATTCTCCATATAAGTAAGATCATGCAGCATTTGTCTTTCTCTCACTTCACTTAGCAAAATGCCCTCAAGGTCCATTTATGTTATCATAAGTGGCAAGATTCTATTTTTTATGGCTGAGTAATACGGTATTTCATTGTATACATATCACTGCACTGCATTTATTCATTCTTCCATCGATGGACACTTAAGTTGTTTCCATGTCCTGGCTATTGTAGATAATGTGGCAGTGAACTGGGGCACACATACATTTTTTATTTATCTATACATTTGCTCCAGGTAAGTATCCATAAGTGGAATTGCTTGAGCTAAAACGTTTTTAAGATTTAAAAAATACAGCAGAAAAGCTAATTCTTGACTTTTTAAAGATTCTTTAAAGGCTGATACAAACTGTAGTTTGATTTGCAGTTAGAAATTTATGTAGCTGATTTTGCTTATTATGTTAATAAAATTCAGTTAAGGGATTCTTTCTTCTGTTGTTGTTCAAGTACGGTTGTCTCCATTTTCACCCCACCACAGCCCCCAGTGGCACCCATCCTTGCCTCCCCACCTTGAAACTGCCCCCTTCGGATTTGTCCGTGTGGCCTTTATACATGTTCCTTGATGGCCCTTCCCCTGTTTTTTCCCCATATCCCTCTCCGCCCTCCTCTCTGGTTACTGTCAGTTTGTTCTTTATTTCAGTGTCTCTGGTTATATTTTGCTTGCTTATTTGTTGTGTTGATTAGGTTCCACTTATAATGGGATTTACAACTAGAGATACTAGAATATAATTTATCCACTGCATTTTTGGAATTATACTATATTCAGCTTGTTGTCCATCAGTTTCTTTAAAAATTTTTAAATTTCTTTATTATACACATTAAGCATATTATTGAACATGTAAAGGTTATGGGAGTATATAAAGTATTATCCTTTTTTGAAATTCAGAAGTCTTGTTATTCTAGTTATTACGTTCTTCCATAGTTTCTAGAAGTTGTAATTATTTCAGTTGACTCTTTTACTTACTGTTTAGGGGACTAAAGTACTATTTGCCAATTAATACTCTAATAGTTTTTCTGTAGACCTTTATTTGTTGTAACAAAATTAAAGGATTTTGCTTACTTTCACTTAGGAAAGATTAATTATTTTGAAAATAAATATGATATTTGAAAAAAGCAAGTGCTCAGACAGTATACCATTTTCATGCTCTCTGAATGATATGTATGTTAGAGCAGGAGCAATATTAACTATTTCATACTGTTGGTTTGAGGGTATTAAGTGTGGGGTTTTCTGTTTTTTTAACTAGGTGGGCTTATGCTATACATGGTATTCTTGAAGTAAATGTTTGCCCCCGTTTACGGATGTGGTCATGGAAGCATGTTAGAGAACATAGGCAAAAAATGAAGCAATACAAAGAACTATATAAGAAAAAAATAACAAGTAAGAAGCCACCTGGTGAACTTCTCAGCCTTTTGGAGGTTAGCATTTTTAAAACTTGTTGAGTATTTTTAGTACTTCCTAATTGTTTGTTCTAATTTCAACTAAGCATTCTCCGTCTCTCTTTTACTTAGATTTCTTTTTATTCCTGATTAAAGTCAGTTGGGTGATATAAGCTTTGGTGCTATTTCCCTGGGAGCTTTTGGAATTTGAGATTATTCTCAATCTGGAGAGATTTGGGTCTATGCAAATAGTAACTGGAAGCCTTATATTATTAAGATACTTCTAACTTCAAAAGCCTAAAAAGTTTTTCCTACATTGATTCCAATTTCTCTGTGTTGGTTTCTAAGCCTTACGTCACTAGTATATTTCCCTTTTGTTACCACAGTGTAACTGCATTAATCATATAGAATCTCCTGTCTTCTATGCGTTTTATGCTTATAGCCACATCTGTGCTCATGTATTCCATCTGCCTTTCTCATCTCTCTGCCTATCCCAGCTCTACTCAGCCCTCAAGTTCTGCATAAGTCCCATCTCTTTTCTGAATTTTCTGTCCACATAGAACTCTTTTTCTTTTAATTCCTGTGGCATTTCTAGTTTTTACCAGCAACTTTACATTTAATTATTTATGTTGAGAGTTCTCTAAATATTAGTCATGTTATCTTTTAACATTGTAGTATATTCTAGAAGGGACTGCTTTACAGATGGATAAAGTATAGCTAACCATTCTGAATCCAGGCCAGTTTCCAATTAGCAACACCTAAAGATTGAGTTTTATTGTTATTTTCAAAGTAGGAGACTTTCTGAAAAGCTGTGCTAGTATAAATGTTTAAATTTGTAGAGGCCTTTTGGGCTAGTTACAGATTTCCTTACTTAGTTTTAGATCTTAACTTGAGATGAGTCTGCTGGACAGTAGAACCCTGAGCTGTTTTTTGAACAGTAGGTCATGGTTGCTTCTCTTTGGGAGGGAAAGTAGAATGCACATGAAACTCTCAAAAGTAGTCATGGACATCATGTAGAGCAATGCGGTGAAAGATTTAGCTTATCTCAGTTTATTTCAATAGCCACAACAATGTTGAAAAGCATACAATTTAAAAACAAGTTTTTAAGTGTATGTAGGTCCAGTTGGAGTATCTCAGTGATGACATATAATACTGTGCTGTGCACATAATATGAAGGTTTTATAATTGTATTTTTAGTTGGAAGTGACACTATGTTTATCCTTAGCTATGGTTAAAACCCAAATTAAAAAGTCATTTTACACAGTGCATGTATGGGATCTTTTAGAATGTTATTTCCTAAGTCTTGTAGAGTTGTAACTTTTATGCATGATACAAGATTTCTTTGTTCACAAGGTTTTTCATTACTAATTTCCAAGCTGATATATATAAATAAGTATAAATATAAAAAACTATTGCTTCTCAGAACTTAATAAAAATATGTCGATGGATGATCTGCTTCATGCTTCCCATTGTATCTTTAGCACAGCAACTTGACAGATTATATATACTAACGTTATTTATGTAAACACATTTTTATTTATATTTTTAGGAGTTGGAAAAGACCCTGGATGTATTCAGTATAACTGTAGTGAGACAACAAGCAGAAGTTGAGGTAATTTCAGATTATCTTTCAGTTAGTAAATATAAACCTAGATTGATACAGATTTGACAAGTGCTGTGATGTTATTAATATGGTGCTGTGTTATACTATTTCCTAAAAGGGATTCAGATTTGCTTTTCTGTATTTGTTATAAGATAATTTGATTTAATGTTTTGTTGCATCCATGGAAATCAGACAGGTTCTATTGGAAAAATATTCTTTCTAAGTTATTGGACTTATCAAATACTCAGAGTTCATGTGGAAATGAAAAGCTAACTTTTTTGTTTGTTTTTGTTTCTGGAATTGCCTTTGTTCATAAGACAGTGGGGTTAACGGCCTGGTAATCCTAATTCTTATGTTTGGCTAATATTGCAGTTATTTCATTCTTGTGTCAGTTTGTATATTGTATACATTTATTTACTCAAGTAGACAAGTTTTGAAATGTCAGATTTCTATTTCTTTAGATTATTAAATAAAGGATAATTTGTCATTTATTTGAAATTTTATTTATTTTAGGTAAAGAAAGCTGGATACAGGATTTACAGAGAAGGAACAAAAGAATCAGAGGAAAATAAAGGATGGTTTAACTGGCTGTGGAGTTGGTCAGAATCAAAAACTGAAGAACAGCAACCAGATATTAAACCTGGAAGTACGTTCATTTTATTTTATAGCAGTGCAGTTAATCATCAGGTATGGTAATGTAGCTAATCATCGGGTATGAAAATTGTTTTGCAGAAAATTCTCTAATTAAATAGACATTGTAAGTATATATACACATGATATATACTTTATCCTTTTTATCAATAAAATTACTGTTAAAACATTGTAAGTATATGCCAAGTAAAAATTATTTATATTTTTTATCTTACTAGTGTTTGTAAAAGAACTGCCCATGGGATTAAGTAAATGCATATAGCACAATAACAGATAAATGAAAATGCCAAATGTGTATAAATCATTGCAGATTTTTATTGAAGTCACATCATTTCTTGGAAAGAGTTTTGTTTCTCAACCAAATGCTTAAGATTTTAGCTTTGGAGTCTTCGGGGCTTGGGTTTATATCATGGACCTATCACTTGTGAACATTGTGGCCCTGGTAAATTATTTAAGATCTTTGAGTCTCAATTTTATCATTTGTAAGATGGGAAGTTATGAGATTAATGCTACTTTGTGAGCTAAGTGTGTTGCCCAGCACAGTGTCATTAAGTGCCTAATACGATTAGCCATTTTGTATGCTCTTGGTTAATACCAATATTTACAAGTGTATATTGCTAAGTTTATGTACTTAGAAATTTATATTTTTGTGGAGTAATCCTTCTAAAATTGCCATTGCCATTCTGTCATTGTGGCTATAATTTCTTGAAAGTATTATTAAAATGAGAATAAATTTACATTTAATTTATTAAAGGGAACTATTATGGATTAGTTTTATCTAAAACTAATTATGGATTAGTTTTATCTTGGTATCAGTTAAAAACACAAAACACTTTTATATAATTTGTAGGTCTTGAAGAAATCTTGACACCTGAAGAAAAAACTTCACTCTATGAAGCAATTGGCTATAGTGAAACAGCAGTTGATCCAACCTTGCCAAAATCAGTAAGAGGTTTTCTTGCCTTACTACCTCTGTTTAATGATAGTGATACCTGTTTTTAATCCTTTAGGAAATCTGTGTTGCTGACTTTTTCTTTAATGTTTTTCTGTGTCTGCAATTATTGTTTTTTAATTTTTAAGGTAGGGATAAATATTGTACTTTGTAGTGTTATGTGATTATTCTTTAAGATATAAAGGGTTGCTTTTAAAGTATTTTCTGGTTTTTGGAAAGAATAGATTATATGAATAGGATGTAAATAAGAGTGGTTGTTATTTTCATTGTGTGTGTGTCTAACTTGTTTATTTAATTTTATTCCTCTGAATATACTCTAGTTTGAAGCAATGAAGTTTTATGTACACTTGAAAAGTATGTCTATTGTCCTAAGAGAAGAACAACAAAAACCTGAGCTGTTAGATATTGTAGTAGAAGAATTTAGCACTTTGATTGTACAAAGACCGGGAGCACAAGCAATTAAGTAAGTATTAATTTATTTTCTTTTATCTATAAGAAAAAATTTCATTGTGAAGTTGGGAGTTAGATTATAATTTTACAGTTATTTTCTTTTATTTTCAGAGGGGAAGGGAAGGAGAGAAGGAAAGAAATATCAATGTATGGTTGCCTCTCATGCGTCCCCTGTTGGGAACTGGCCTGCAAACCAGGCATGTGCCCTGACTGGGAATCAAACCATGATCATCTGGTTTGCAGGCCTGCGCTCAATCCACTGAGCTAGATCAGCCAGGGCTCATATTTTTTAAAATAAGTTTTTGATTTCTCGCTCATCCTCATTTCCTTCTACCACCTCTATGATTCAGATGTTGGATATTGCCCCAGAGGTTCCTAAGCCTCTCCTCATTTTTTTTGAATTCGTGTTTCTTCTTTCTGTCCCAGGTGAATGTTTATTTCTTCCCTTTGTTCTAAATCATTGATTTGAATCCCAGCTTCCTTCCCTTCACTTTCGGTCCCCTGTATATTGTTCTTTATTTCACTTTGTATAGTCTTTACTTCTTCCTTTATTTTATGGCTGTACTCAGTCATTTCTATGAGTATTCTTATTACCAATGTTTTGAACTCTGCATCTGATAGGTTGGCTATCTCTGTTATATGTAGTTCTTTTTCTGGAGTTTTGATCTATTCTTTCATTTGGGCCTTATTTCTTTGTCTCTGAAATTTGTCAGCACATCTGTTACATTGTAAGAGCCAGAGCCTTAGGAATTCACCAGGGTGGGACAACCCACTTCATTGTATTGTGATGTTGTGTGTGGGTAGGAGTCTGAGAGGGAACAGTGCTACTTGCTCGGCTCTCACCCAGCTTTCAATCATTTCCCCCACTTTCTGCAAATGATCAGCACCCTTATAGTTGCTGCCTTGTTGCTGATTCTCTGGCTGGCTGGGCTTGTGTATATTCTAGGACCACATGGGCCTAGAGTCCTAATGGATTCTCCTGAGAGACTAGCAGTTTCTCCTGCCACTGCAACTGCCACGGATTTTTACATATAGACATCATAAGGATGGGTCAGAGAGGGAACAATGAGAGGCAACAATGCTTGCTAGAAGAGGGGGAAGTAACTGAAAGCTGGGGAAGAGCCAGGCAAACCGTGCCCTTCCAGGTCCCTCACTGGTGCTGATTCCTGAGTGGGTGGGCTTGCGTACATTCTAGGACCCTCTGGGCCTCCCAAATGAACTCTCCTGAGAGATTGGAAGTTTCTTTTGCTGCCGCAACCCCCACAGGTTTTTACAGCCAGAGATAATGAGGCTTTATTTTTCCGGTGCTGGAACTCTGTGTTGTACAGTCTGTCCTGGGCAGGGATTGCTAGGTCCCCAGTTGTTCTTCCAGGTTTTTTATCCACATGCAAATATGGGACAGCCTGGTATGCCAACTGCTTCCTTGCTGGACATCCTTTTCACTGGCTGCCCGTCTCTGTCCCTCCTACCATCTGGATGAGTGTTTCTTCTTTAACTCACTGGTTTTCAGGCTTCCATACAGTTCAGTGTTCTGGCAGTTCTGGTTGTTTTGCTTTTAGATTGGTGGTTATCCTTCTTTTGATTTTGTGAGGAGGTGAAATGTATCTACCTACACCTCCATCTTGGCCAGAATCCCCAGTTTCATTCTTTTACATGAGATCATTCAGTTGTCCCAGCAACATTTGTTGAGAAAGCTATGCATACTTTCCTCGTTGGATGATCTCGTCTCTCTTGTCAAAATGAATTTACCATAAATGTAAAGATTTATTTCTGGATTCTTAATTCTATTATCATAGATATATATCACTAACCTTGTGCCAGTACACACTGTCTTGATTACTATACCTTTGTAGTAAAATTTGAAGTCAGAAAGTATGACCCCACAAGTTTTATTTTCAAAGTTTCTGTTTCAAGATTGTTTTAGCTATTCTGAGTCTCTTGATTTCTGTGTAAATTTTGGGATTATTTTGTCCATTTCTGGAAAATAAAAAAGCTTGGATTTGATAAGGATTATATTGAATCTGTAGATCATTTTGGGGAGTATGACATCTAAACAACATTAAGAATTCCAGTCCACAGATATTGGATGTCTTTCCATTTATTTAGATCCTCATAAATTTCAGCAATGTGAGTTTTCAGGGTACATGTTTTACACCTCTTTTGTTAAATTTTTTTCTTATGTAATTTATTGTTTTTGATTCAGTGGAAGAGTAAAAAATTTTCCTAGATTTTTTTTGGATCCCTGACTGGGTCTGAAAACTGACAAAGACAGATTAACAAGAGGAAAGCATACAGATTTATTTAATATACAGATTTATTTTACATTGACATAGGATCCTTCATGAGGAAATGAAGAGCCAAAGACTAGTTAGACCTGACCATTTTTACACTAGGTTTTAGAAGAGTAAACAAGTGTGGAGGAATATGGTAAGTCAGTGGGTTATGAGGTAAATATCATGAACTGGGGAAACATAGCAAGGCCTGTTTGTTAGGATTCTTGTTAGTATCCCTTTGTCTTTGGAGATCAGGATCTGCTTTCCTGTGGGTATTGTTGGGGCACCGCACATGAGGCTTTTATATCTGTTTGAGTGACAGGGGTAGGAGAAAGTCAGAGTGACCTTTCTGCTTTGACTGTTTCCTCAAACCCCTTCGACTTAAAATATTCAGTATGCCAAGGTACCATATTCTAGGGTAGTGTGTAGTGAACTCTATCAGAGTATTGTAAGTGAAATTATTTTCTTAATTTTATTTTTGAATTTTCTACCAGTGTATAAAAATACAATTGATTTTTATATATTATCTTGTGTCCTATAACCTATTAAACTTGTTAATTAGTGCCAATAATTTTTAGTAAATTCTTTAGTGTTTTCTGCATATATGAGCATGCCATCTGCAGATAGATAATTTTACTTCTAATTTTCCAATGTAGATAACTTTTCTTTCATTTCTTGCCTAATTACTGTGGCTTGAACATCCACTACTATTTTGAATTGAAGTGGTCAGAGATCAAACCCTTGTACGAGGTATCATTGGCAAATATGTTTTCCCATACAGTCAGTTTTCTTTTCATTTTAATGCTGTTTTCTTTAGCCATGCAGAAACTTTTTATTTTGATGAGGTCCATTTGTTTATTCTTTCCTTTATGTCTCTTGCTGTAGGAGACATATCAGTGAAAATATTGCTGCGTGGAATATCTGAGATTTTGCTGCCTATGTTTTCCTCTAGGATTTATATGGTGTCACAACTTATATTTGTCTTTTATCCACCTTGAATTTATTTTTATGTATGGTATCAGTTGGTGATCGAGTTTCATTTATTTGCATGTAACTGTCCAGGTCTCCCAACACCATTTGTTGAAGATGCTAATACCATATGATCTCACCTTTAAGTGGAACCTAATCAACAAAAAAAAAAACAAGCAAAATATAACCAGAGACATTAAAATTAAGAACAATCTGACAGTAACCAGAGGGGAGGTGGGAGGAGATAAAGGGGAGAAAGGGGGAAGTGTTTTTAGGAACAACTATAAAGGATTTGTGGACAAACCCAAATAGGGGTGGAATCAGGGTAGGGAGATGGGGGGGTAAATGCAGACAACTGTACCTGAACAATAAAACAGTTAAATTTTTTAAAAAAGGAAGTGGTCGGGATGGGCATCCTTGCCTTATTACTGAGCTCAGTTTTTTAACCATTAGGTATGATGCTAAGTCTTTCATCAGTTTGGAGAAGTTCTCTTGTATTCCTAGTTTGTTTAGCCTTGCTATTGTCATGAAAGGTTGTTAAGTTTTTTCAAATGCATTTCTGTGTCTGTGAGTTAAAATAACTGTGTATTCCTGGGATAACTCTCACTTGATCATGTGTATAATCCATTTTATACATTGATGGATTTGGTTTGCTAGTATTTTGTTGAGGATTTGTACATCTAAATTAATAGAAAATAATGATCTATAGTTTTATGATTACTTTGTTTTTTGTATTAAGATGATACTGTCCTCATATAGTGAATTAGGAAGTGTTCCCTCCCTTTGGAGAAGTTTGTGAAGAATTGGTATTGATTTATTTTTAAATGTTTGGTGATAGACTTCACCAGTGAAATCATCAGGCCTGAGCGTTTCTTTGAGAAATCAGTAATTCAAATGTGTACTTCTTACAGATCTATTTATATTTTTTGTTTCTTTTTTAGTCAGTTTTGGGTGTTTATTTTTAGGAATTTGTCCATTTCATCTCAGGTATGTAACATTTGGCATATAGTTGTTCATAGTATTACCATATAATCCCTTTTTCTTTCTATGAGGTTGGTAGTAATGTCTTCTTTCATTCCTAATTTTTTGAGTCTTTTATTTCTTAGTTTCATTAAGTTTTGTTGATCTTTTTAAAAAACTAGCTTTGGTTTTGTTGATTTTTTCCTATCTATTTTTATTATATATCTAATTGAAATTTTAATATTTTCATCTTCATTCTGCTTGCTTTGGGGTTTGTTTGCTTTTCTTTTAAAGTATTTTAAAAGGGAAGATTTGTGATTTTATGGGTTTTTTTAATGTAGTCAATTACTAATCCATTAATTTTTTTTAATGTCTTCTCTTTACTGAAGTGAATTTCTTATTTTGGCTCTGATTTCCATTTCCTTCGTGACTAATGTTGTCGAGCATCTTTTCATATGGCTGTTGGTTATCTTTACAATATGTCTTCATTGAACCTACTTTTAATTGGTCATTCTTTTTGTCATTGATTTGTAAGACTATTTTATAGACTCCAGATATCAGACTGTCATCAGATAAATAATTTGCAAATATTTTTTTTCATTTAGCTTGTCCTTTTACTTTCTTGATAATATCTTTTGATACACAAAAGGCTTTAATTTTTATGCATTTTAGTTTACCTGTTTTTCTCTTCCCTTGCTCTTGCTTTTGTTACCTCTAATAAGATTTGCCTAACTTAAGAATATAGAAATCTAATTTTGTATTTTTCTTCTAAGATTTTTAGAGTTTTATATCTTACATTTAGGTTTATGAT